ATCCATGTTAACTCATTGATTCATTCCTTTGAAAAAAACTTACATTTGAAGGATATCAATTCAACACCTTAGTTAAATATCATTTTATTGGTACTCACATTGATTTTGTTTTTGATGAAGTAAAACATAACTAAATGTGTATTGCTTTTCATTTAATTCAATTTTGGCAATGCACAAGGTCATGATTTTTTCAGAATGTTTATCATGACATCTTTACACAAAATCCATTGGATACTTTAATCTGGGAGAACATGATTTATTTATAAGTTGCTATTGTCATTAAACTAGCTTTCAGTAATTTTAAGCATTCTTACATTGACAGTTTGTGTCTTTTTTCTTTATGTTAGTTGTTTTTTGAGATCCATGCCAATCTGATGAGTCAAGCTTTTTCCTATTAATTTTTACAGTGTGTTCTTATGTTGTGTTGTTACACTATTGTGTTGTACAATGTTCTTGTTTTTTGTTTGTTTATTGTTTTGTAATAAATCAGACTATTGCTTTTATAAGATGAATTGTTTGACATTCGTAATGTCGGGGTCTTTTATCGCTTGCTGTGTGGCATGGGTTTTGCTCATTGTTGAAGGCCTATAGTTAGGCCAAAATTAAAATGAAGTTTGTTTCCCCTTACCCGACCGACCCTCTAAAAATCCGCCGACTGAAATAATTTTTTTCGAAAATCCCTTTGTTTTTTGTTTTTTTCGTTTCGCTCAAAAGTTTGTTTTTTAATTTTGTTTCCTTGAAATGTCCGTATTTTCAACATTCCGCGAAATCATTGTCGCCCGTGTGTTTGCAGCAAAGGGTAAACAACGTATGCAAGGATACTGAAATTGGAATGGAATAATGTTTTAAATAAATGCATCCAAGCAATCTTAACTACTATTCCATTCTAGCTACGCCTCCAATAACAAAATGCGTAGCGAGAATGGCCGAGTAGTTACGATTGCGCATCCGAGCTCACCCTTGAGCTTAAATGTTAGGCCCGGTGTTTCTGTCGTGTTTGTGGTAAATCCCCGAGTTCGCCTTTATCAGTGGTTGACTCAATAAGTTGTATATTGGCGTGCTATTTATGCTATTTTGTTTCATTTCGTATGTGATATTGGACCATACACTAGTTGTCTTTGGATAAAATAGTAGTTGATTTTTTTCGAGCTCAGCATCATATTGTGTTGTGAAAAGTCGAGATGACTATACCAGCTAATGCTTTGATAAAAGTTCTTGTAAGTTCTTATGTCTTTTATAAGCTATAATGGGCTGGTGATTAAATATGGTCACACATTCAGGGTTTTGTGAAATAAGATGCCAGTGTTTCATTATATTTTTAGTTTCTGTATAGATGGGTTGAATTTTGTTAACATTACTAGCGGTTGCTCCCGTTTCGCTGGGCGATGTGTTAGCAAGGTTTCCCTTTCTGTATTTTGTGTTTGATAAAAAAAATCGTTGATTTCAGATATTTGATATCCTCGTTTGAGCTTCTTATTGTTTTTTTAAGATCAGTTTTGCTGCTTGTGTTTCTGAGATACCTCAATACTTCACCCTTGATAAATCCTTTCAATGAAAACACTTTTTGGGTGTGAGCAGTATCTGTGCAGATATTGATATGTTTCAGTTGGTTTGATATTGGTTTTAATGTCTTGTATCATACTCTGCCTTCGTTAAAGAATCTTTCTCCTTTGTATAATTATGACAGTGTCTAAGATATTGTTTCATTACAGGAAAATTCGTAGGTGAACTTCAACTATCATTATCATTTTGTTTCTCTGTGTTGAAAGCGTTGTAAAATGTGTTCAAGAATTAACAAACATTGTAAGGTCTGCTAACTCAGCGAATGCTGATCCGCACATAGGCACGCTCAAGGTTTCATGGTAAAGTTTATTGTTAAAAATAAATTCATAGTTTTCTAGAATAGGCGTAGTCATACTCGCTTGGATCACGGTTTGTGGCTTCTAGTATTTCCTTAAATGAAAAACAAGTGTACATATTTTTTGCATCGAATGTTACTAGGTAGCAGTCTCGTTGGGGTTTTATATTTTCAATTGAATTAATAAAACTATAAGAAAGATATAGAACCGTGTCTCAATTTATATGTGGTCTACTCTAAGTCACAAAGACATTGATATTTACAAACATTTTCTAGTCTGAAATTGTAAGGTCTTCTAGTCATGCATAATACGTTATACAGAATGTTGTTTTAGTATCAATAAAGTTCAATTTGTTGTTTTTCTGTGTTTTCCTGTATGTTAGATATATTTAAGGGATTTTCTCTAAAAAAAAAAAAAAAAAAAAAATGCCTACCTTCCTACCCGCTTCCAAAATGGTGGGTAGGGTAAGGGGAAACAAAGATATTTTTAATTGCGGCCTTACAATGTACCTATAGTTGCTTAAATCAGCTTAATTTGACTCTCTTGGGTACTCATAGTTGTCTAATTGGCAATCATACCACATCTCCTTATCTTTTTTAAAGTTTACTGAAAAATATCATGACTAAATACTATGATATATTTCAGTATGAGTCAAAAGATTCCCCCCCTTTTTTTAAACTCACACATCATAAATCCTACTACATGTACTATGGAACATCACATATGTATGTAAAATACATTGTTATATCTATAATAGTATAGACAACTGCTATTTTTGAAAACTGAACATTGACCTCTAGATGTCTTTTGTTTTATTTGTTGCCTTCTTAATGACCTTCAAACAGAATCTTATTGACCTTCAAACAGAATCTTATTAACCTTCAAACAGAATCTTATTGGCCTTCAAACAGAATCTTATTGGCCTTCAAACAGAGTTTCCTTATATCCATGATATATAATTATAATTAACTATCTGACAAATAATAAATTGATTAAACAAGAAACTGAGTTTTTCTACAGATCTACTTCTGTTTTTTTTCTATATCAAATTGAAGTTATTTTCAAATTTCAAAAATAATAATAAATAAATAAACTTTCTGCAGCTTGGACATATAGATTGTGTACGAGTCCTTCAAAATGTAGCTACAGCACAAAATAACATTTTACATTGATGCAAATTAAGTAACAGTATTTATTTGAAAACTAATGTGCCTGAAAATTGGATCTTTCAGATTTTAATTTAGATAATGTTTTAAAGTGTGAATGCTGACCTTTAATACTAAAACATTATACAGCAGCCTCAGCATGTTTAATTAGCACTGAACATTAGAGAATGTTTATTAAGCTAGACTTTGCTTTAATTATTTCATATGCAAAGCACTGAAATCAAGGATTTTTATCTTGTAAAGCATCTGATATTTATTGATGAAAAATGATGCCACCAATTTGAGGACTGATTTTTCAAGAACAACTACTTGTAATTGTAGTACTTGAATAGAAGAAAATATCCATAATAAGTAACTGTATTTTGTGTACAATGATGCAGCACGGTGTTTAGCAATCAATCATAAAATTAACAACAACTAAAACACATACTTTATATCAAAATTCTTCACTACTCAAATCAAAAATATGTATATGCTCCCAGAGAAAGAATAAATTGGAGATCATACCAATAACAAAGTTACAAACTTATACATCTTCAACAACATAACAGTAGATTAATTAAATATTTTGTTCTTTTTGAAAGTTTTTATTTGTTAAACATCATAAAGTAGCATGTGCTTTCCTGAAATGAATATCTGACATGTCTAGGGAGTATACAAGTTCCTGCAAAATTTTGCTTCAATCATGAATACATTTTTGTACATGATGATGGAGAGTATCCCCGAGGAACCAGTAATGACGCACCTAAGGTTGTTTTGTCTCTGCATTTAATCTACCATTTAAAAGAATTAGAAAAACGGAATGGAATAAAAGATTGGTAACTTGTCATTATATTTCAATCATTAAACAGTTGATATTTGAAACAGTAATAGCAATGAAATTCATGTTTGCTAACATTACAAACGGACTGCCAACTAATGATGGGTACCAGTAATGACGCACTGTAAACAAACCAGTAAAAACCACTTGCACGTAACTGATAATCGAAAAATTGCTTCAATCCGGATTCTTTAAAATTTAAACTGATCAACAGATTCAATTCTATTAACAACTTTTGATATTTTCATTCACTTTAATGATCATGATGATTGTAACACCAAATTTTTAATCAATTTAAATGTAACCTATATTTTGGTATATAATTGTTCAAAATTTATGAAAGTGATATACATATTCCATATATTTGAAAATAAAAAGTAATTGCATTCATAAAACAACATTGACAATAATACATTTATCAATGTATACTTCATACATTGAATGAAAAAAAATCGATAAACCAATGAAAATTATATAAGCGACGATCATTTGTTCTACAGTGATTTCCGATCAAATGTAAAACCATGTCACATGACAGTCACTTGATTTGAAAAACACAAAATGGGGAAGCATGCGGTTACATACTTTTCTTGACCAAAGTGGAGATAGGACTGATAATCTTTCGGGGAAGGGTAGAAATTTTTTGACCTTAATAAAATGGCGGAACTTGCATTGTCTTTAATATTTTGAGCAATAATAACATTTCTGGGCAGAGTTTTAGGCATCTTTGTTGTAGTCAGATGACCTTCAACATCATGTTATGAACAGCAAATGTTGATGACGTCACGGCTTTTGTTTAGGAATATAAAACCGTTAACTAAATCGGTGCGTCATTTCTGGTCCGCGTCAAAACAGGTACCAAGACGATATTCCTACAAGCAGAACTGCAGAAGTAGTACTACTTGAAATTACTTATGTACAGTTGTGACGAATGCATACATTTGTAAAAATATTTTAATTTGTGTTTAAACGGATATCATGAAATGTCATTTACATGCATCCTGTGGATTTCTTTTGTGAACATGAAGCTTTTTGATCTTTTCATTCTCCATTTCATTTTGGTGGCGGTTATTTACGTACGTATGGAAAAAGTCCGAGAGGGCAAAACAAGATTTTTGCAGACCATTTCGGTCTGCAAAACGCTTTTAGTTACGAATTTTCATTACTGAAAATCAAGAGAATAATCTGCACTGAAGACAAAAATGAACTGTCTTGTAAAAAACCTTTGCAGAAAACATTTACTTTTGTTAACAAAATGTAATATAATTTTTTGAATAAGTAACTCCTTGTTGTATTTTTCAGTATATATGATAATTTCAGTTGTTCTGATGGTGGTGAAAACTCTCTAAGAATGATATAATAATATGAGGCAGGCATTACCTTTGAGAGGGGACGAAGTTTGTATGAATTTTTTTTTTAATTCAAACATATTTTAGCTTCAAAATCTGTTAAAAAAGAAACGGAAATAACGTAACGTTTCCGATTTCGGTTCTGTTGTTAGGGATTTTATTTGTAACGTTATTTATGTTATGACGTCATATTCAATGTAAACAAAGAAACGCTATCATCAGGTAACGGTTTTTCATATCAAGGAATTATTAAAAATGAAATTGGTATTGCGTTCCTTCCTATATTTCACTAGACTGATAAATATATATTTTACTTAACGACTCATGCAAACGAGACCGGAAAAAGGAAGTAGATTTCTGCGCAAATGCAGGAAAATAAAAAAGTCTGAAAATAAAAAAGTTAACGATTTTGAGTTCATTAGTAGAATGAAAATTTCGGGAAATTTTCCCGAATTTTTTTTTTTTTTATTGATTTTTCTACCGTAATAGGGGACTTCGTCCCCTTATTATGTTTGTGAAAGTACATGTAGCTAGTGTTGACAACACTGCAACAGGTTCACTGAATCTTCAATTTGAGGCTGGTGTTACAATGTTTGTACCTGTCAAGTCCATATTATTATTCGTGATACTTTTTGGTAATCGGATAGATAAAAAAATTTGCAGGAAATAGCTGCATTTTTACGTTATGACCACTGACACTGTATAAACAGAGTGAAATTATACACCAATCTCGTTTTTATATGAATGAGTTACACCGGTTGACCCAGGGTCATTCGGGTAAAGGACGTCTTCAAAATCAGTTTTTACTGTGACGTAATAACATAAGCATACAACTTATCACTATTTTGTCCTCAGTGGCGGATTGACCGGAGGGGCACAGGGGGCACGTGCCCCCCCAGTCGGGGTCACCAAAATTTTTTCTAACATAGTTTTATTGCTAATGTATCTGTTTATGTAGATATCTAGATCTAAAATCAAGACACAGCTTGATTTGACTTCCTAAAGTGGTCGTTAATTAACCCCAGCTTCAACTAACTCGAATAATTCTGCGCCCTCTAGCGGCCCATAGCCTATCGAGGTTAATGTAGCAATCGGAGATTAGACGGAGATCGGCGGAATATAACGACTGACATTATTCGGGTTAAGCTTCAACATGCGTGATTTATGACAACTTATCGATGGGTGTGTAAATATTGACACCTTTGTGTAATGTCTAAAAGCATTTATGTAAACTACATGTACATCTACCTGCTGATTGGAATTAATACGAATATATTTATTGATTTCTAATACAATATTACAGGATCAAGATCGATTAACAAGAGAAATCTTCTGATCAGGAAAGAAATTACCAACTAAAATCGGTCTGAAAAGAATATGTAAAAATAGATGTTTAGTGTCAGGAATGTTAGTATCGATATGAGATACGTCTTTATTACCAAACACTCACATTGTTTACGGTTTCTGGGGAATGTGTCTTTCTCAGAACAGTCTTTTTCGGACTTTATTAAACAACAAATGATTTTTTTTTCAATGCATACAGCATTTTTTTAAACTGAATGTCGTGTTTTTTCCCCTTATTTTTTTTATGGAAACCAATGATTTGTCTTTAAAAAAAAACCTTCCCCCTCCACAAAACATGAATGGTCTGTGCCTTATATATATATATATCATTAATAAAATGATATTGTATTTTTAGAAAACCTATACTCATATTTGAGATAAAGAACAGCAATAAAAGCGCTGTTCCTTTGCTTATTGTGTGTTTTTTTTGCTGTGCATGTACTGATTTTGTGTCGTGGATGGATACCCCATATCCTTTCTTTTTCTATTATATAGTACAGTAAATTGTGTATACACATTTTTTTCTTGTTTTAATTACCATGTATGAGGGTATGAATAGGTTACCATGAATGGTTTACCGTGAATGAGGGTATGAATGGGGTCTACAGATTAGAGAATAATGGTCAAAAAGTAAAGACTAGAAAAAATTGTGCCCAAAAAATATAGAAAACAGATTAAAGGTGTGATGAACTATAAAGAATAGAGGACAATTGGCAGCAAATAAAAGAGTAGAAAGAAATGGGTCCAAAAATAATGAAAAGATATAGAAATGAAGACCTGACCCCCCCCCCTTCCACGACCACCATCATCCCCAATACATGAGACCACCACCACCCACACTCGCATATCTAAACTAAACAAATCTTTAATTTTGGTTTCATGGTGCCCCCCAGACTTGGGAAATCTGTGCCTCTTGAACTATTGACACCGTACAACAATCACTTTTCCATTGTGGCGAACCTTTGTGATGTCCAGTAATGGTGGACAAATAGCGATAAGGTGTATTGTGCCATAGGAAATTTACGGGAAAGTGCAAGCATTTGAAAGTGGTCTATTTGCAAGTGCAACTGCTATTTTGGATTCACTAGTATATTAATTTTTCTTTTTGTTAATTTTTGTATTATTATTAGCAACCTCTCTTATTGATATGAGGCAGGTGCAACCCAATGAACTCCTATAGGTTATATGTAACTAGGTTACTATGCTGACTATGCAACCTTTACCAATGAGAAAAAACCAATCCTTATAGTTGAATTTAAAAGGCACAATATATATATATATATTTATATATATATATATGTTTGACCAAATGTGAAACAATTCAATCGAAAAAACAATTAACAGTCTGATTTATAACATAACAAAAAAACAAAAGAAAATGAATATAAAAGATAGCTACCAATGTCAATGGGCAACTACTGAATTACATGCTCCTGACATAAAATTTACTTTACTGATTTTTGATTGCTGATTTAAACCTTAAAAAAAAATCAGGAAAAATTACAAAAAAAAAAGATTGAGAGCAAATGCATTTCCATATTTCCAAGGGCATAACTCCTTTTAAAATATATTAATCAGCTCTAATTTTTAAACCTGTCCAAGACCTAAACCTTTGATTCAAATTTCATAAAAATCCTACATAATTTGTACATGTGAGAGCCATTACAAGACTGGACAACAAATACACTGTATTTCTATATCATCTGCACTCTATTGCGACTGTGGAAGTAGAAAGGGATCAAGGGTTTTGAAATAGGGCAGGTGCTGCATCCTCTCAAAATGTTCTTGTTCGAGCACTGCAGTAACACACTGGCATGGATAATCTAATTTTAAAATACAATAAAACTCTCAAAAATGAGAAGAAAAAACATTATCTATTGATATAAAAGTATTTAATTTTAAATGTCATAATAATATTCTGATATGCATGTTTCTGCCTCTCACAATTTTTAGAAATCTGCACAGACCAGAGGTGCAAAACATTTGTACTTCCAAGGGGCATAACTACTGCAAAAATGTTTGGTCAGGTCTCATGGCTGATTATAATTCATTTGAGACATTGATGATTTAAATCTTTGATATAAATTTCTGAACAAATTGGACAGAAGAAAGTCCTGCATTTCTATACATTGTATCCCTGCACTGTGTTGCACTGGATGACACTAGAGACAATATTTGTCTGTTCAAGTTACAATTTCCAAACTATTTGAAATTATTTTTCAGCATGATCAGCATATTTTTTAAAGCTTGGCAACTGAGGAAATTTTGTTCCTAGTGAATTGAGTTGTTTGTCATTATTTGATGGAATACAATACAATCTATACAATTCATGTCTATCCCTCACATAATTATGAAAATTAATGTTATTTTCATGTTCTGAACAATAAAAATGTACGATGACCATTACAAGACTATGTCACCTGTTGCTTTAGATAAATACCTTTTCAACTTTACCTTGTGGATATGTCATCAGATGCAGTCCTTTATTGGTTATATATATATATATACATGAAATAAGCTAATGGTATCTTTAGTTGAAAACTCATTTCTGCTTTCCCAAATTGAAAGATGATTTGAATTGCTAGAGTAAAAGAAATAGGATGTTTTGCATTATGCACTACATGTTTTTACCCTCATTAAGCTGAAATTTATTGGATTAGATAATTGTAAAATTTGATTTTTTTCAGGGTCAGAAGTAACTCAGGTTGCCACATACATGAAGCTGAAAATGCCAGAAAAGGAGGAAGGTAATTTTGGTTGATAATTCAACCTTTTGGTATATTTGGGATTTCAGTGTTTGCCTCATTTAAAAGTTTTTTATTCAGCCATGCTGGATCTATGTGATCACTCCAGATTTTGAGATGGTGCAGAACTATAAGTTGAACACGTATCATGCAACTTATTATGTGTTTTTATGACTTGCAGAAACTTTATACACCATTTTAATCATCTACTGCTTACTGTTGACATGTTATTTGCCCTTGAATTAAGAAAATATTGGTCGAACAGCTACTTTATTTTAGATATATACTTGCATATAGTTCCTTTTTACATCAAAATTTATAATAAATTACTATTTATGAATTAATTTGAAAAAGTAACATACCAAATTTAAGCAGCTGAAAGTATTTTATCAGTATCTAATGCTTGTATAAGTAATTGAATAAAATTTGGTACATGCTGTGTATTAATATCAAAGTTGATTCCCACACTTTTTTTGAAATGCTTTTTCAGTCTTGTATCATTTTTAATTTTAGTTTCTTGTGTATAATTTGGAGTTTAGTATGACGTCCATTATCACTGAACTAGTATACATATTTGTTTTGGGGCCAGCTGAAGGACGCCTCCGGGTGTGGGAGTTTCTCGCTGCATTGAAGACCCATTGGTGGCCTTTGGCTGTTGTCTGCTCTATGGTCGGGTTGTTGTCTTTTTGACACATTCCCCATTTCCATTCTCAATTTTATTTTATTTAAAGTAAGAGTACTGAGACAATACAGTATGATAGACAGCTGTCATAATTTACAAACAATTACACTAATTGGATCACCTACACTTTAATGCCAATCTGATATCTTAATATCTCTTGTATTACATAATGGAATACACAAGTATTGATCTCAATAATTGTTTATTCAATCACTTTTGATTTGCACTACATAAAATTATTCTGTAAATTGTGTCTCAAAGATGAATTATTAAGGATTACAAAGCTGCATTTTTTGCAAAGAAAAGACAAAAAACAAAATATGTATAAAAAATGCAAGCAGGGTCTATTTTACGTGTAAAATCAGTATTATAATCATCTGATATTAGTCAATAATTTAGGTTAATTTAAGTTACAATTATCATTTATTTGCTTGAAACAATAAACAAAACTGCACAACTCTAACCTGGGCACTTTATTTGTTTATTCCCTATTATATTGCTATTCAATAGTGTATTTGTACATGTATTTGAATACAGGATTTTTTTGTTCTCAATGAAGAATGAACACCAATTTAAATAAATTTTAGTCATTTAATTTTTATTCTTTCTGGAAATTATTAAGTCAAACTTCAGGTATAAAATATACATGACCTCCATTTGAAGATTTCTATTTCAATCATGTCAAAATTATTTAATTGAAAAGAATAAGATATTAAAAACCAGTACCATCTTCTTAAAATTGAAGTATCAAAAGAATTTGTATCAATATCGAGCAAGAAATTCTCCATCTATGGGCAATTGAATCTTTTTAGGAACATTATGGAAAGGAAATAAAACTTTCATCTTCAGTGTCATATAATTTTTCTGAAGGGTATTATTTTAAAAAGAAAATTAGTTTGTGTGGCTGTCACGACTTAGGAACCTCGTCAGTGATTTTCTTGTGACATTTCTGACTAGTTTTGTTATTTCAAAAATATTGTGTTGATGGCAGATCTTTGATTTTTTTGTTGCATTTATTCACATCTTGTATAGATGATTTAGAGCTTGACATATTGTATAGATACTGTCTACTGTTAAAGACTGGATGTCTATTTGTTATTTTTGTCATTAAGTTGCTGTCACATTGACATGCACCCCACATCTCCTTTTATTCATTATGATATTTTATTTTTGCAATCTACATGTAATGCATTGTCAGTTTTCACCCTATTCAATCACTGGCTTCTCTTCAGTTAAATTTTAGGATTGTATGTAAATAATTCAGCAGAATCTGAGAATAATTTTGCTGTAAAATAAATCATCTTGTATGTTCCTTAATCAACTACCAGTACCTTATGAATAAATGGAGATTCATGGTAACTGTTACTAAGACATAAATTTAAGAATAAGAAATCTAGAGGTCATTATGGTCTTCAACTATTGGCAAGTGTCTAAACAGTATGTCAAGAAATGAATTGCCCAGAGTCTATATTTTTTTATTTAATTTAACATCTTTAACAGAGACTTTGAAAACAGCATTTTTCCAAAAAAAAAAAAAAAAAAAGATATAATAAATGAGATCGTTTCTCACTTCATACAGACGCTAAAATAATTTTGCATCCAAAATTAAAAGACAAGATAATACATTTTTAGAGGTTCATGTGTGTCTGTGTGAAAGTTAATATTGTCTGTGCATTGTGGTATAAATCATGTTTTATTACAGATTTAGAACTACCTGTAAATAAACTGAGGAGTAAGCTGTCACAGTTTGACAAAGTACCACAGAACCCCATTCCTTCTGCTAAGCCTCCAACCATGTCTAAAATGTTGGACCATATGAGAGGTCCAGAGATGGTCCATAACAAACTTATCTATGGACAATTTGGAATACAGGTATTTAAGAAGTCATTAGATATATATATATAGTTATTATGTGCTATATAATTGCCCCAAAAAACAACCTCCTAAAGTGACGGAAAAGGTGAATTTTGAAAGATAAAAACCATTAATACAGATGAGACATTTTGAAAGAAATTATCAGGAAAATCATACGCTGCATTTCATGGTCAAAAACTTAGTTCAACTTAGTCACTTGAAAATCCTTTAGAGTTTAGTTATATATGAAACTTGACATGATAATTCACCATTACTAGAAGGTGTATTGCATACAAGGAAAAATACCATAATACATGAAAATGATAACCTATAAATATGCAGAAATCATTCTGCACCCAAACTTAAAAATCTCTTTGAGTTACAATGTAGGGGATGAATCTTGACACATCATTATTCACCCCTATTAGAAGGTGTGTCATAAACAGGGAAGAATACTGTATGTTGTTAATAAAGCTCAAAAATTTAATTGAAACTCAAGACACCCCTGTGCATATGAATGTACACAATGTGTACCTATCACTAATATTAGTGGTGTATCAGTAAACTATTTGCCTTCCATTGATATTAGCCTTGTTTAAATAAATAATCATGGTGACTTCTAAAGCTTCATCACTATTTGTCTTTTGACTTGCAAAGGGACACAAATAATACTTTAAAAAACTTAATGTTATCATACTCACTTTTTTTCCTTGACCTCCGTATATGTGCACTCATGAATAATAAAATTATACTTTTTGCTTTAATTTTAGGCTTTGCAAGGAGGTCGTCTTAGATTTGAACATTATAATTTAATTCGTTTTGCTATAAATAAGCATATACAGGAAGGTAAAACATTTGGTGTATGGAGAGTATCTCAACCGTGGCAAGCTGTATCTAAAAAAGGTGCAGGGAAACAGATGGGCCAGGGCAAATCTGACATTGACCATTATGTTTATCCACTTAAAGCAGGCCATATCATATTTGAAATTGGAGGCAGAATTGAATTTCTTGATCTGCAAAAAACATTAAAAGTTGTGGAACAGAAAATGCCTTTTAAGGCACGTATAGTTACACCACAGATACTTGAAGATGATGTCAAACAAGAAGCAATCCTGAAGGAAAGGAACATAAATCCATTCACTTATGAACATTGTTTGAAAAATAATTATAATGGAGTGAAAATCTACCATAGTCCTTATGATTTGTATTATCTAAATAAAGATAAATAAAATAGTATTACTGGGCATGATGAATTTACTTTTTGTATTGCAATTTTTGTATAGCAAATACACTAAAACCTGCTATAAAGGTGGCCTCTATTAAGTGAAAACCTGTCTTGTCAGGTCACCCTCTTCTTTACCATTTGTGGTAATATCTTTGCATAATGAACATCAATTCAAAGGTTGCCTCTCTTATAAGGTCATTTTCTTTGGTACTAAAGATGACCTTTGCATACAGGCTTTTCCTGTAGCAATAACTTTATTCGTAATCAATAAAGCTCATGCCTTTAACAAATATTCACAGCACAATAGCATCAGTGTCCAGATAGTAATTAATGTACCAACAGTAGAGAATATACAATAAAATCAACAGTTCCAGATTTTTTCAGCAAGATGTAAATATTTTCCTAAATTCTTTTTCTTTCATATTACTGGTATGAACAAACAATAGTTGTTCAAGTTTGGAACTAGATAATCTTCACCAATAATAAGTTTTCATATACATCTTCTTGTATTTCTTAATTATAAATGTTTACCTTGGTCTCTTGTTTCCCAAATTGTAGAAGGTTGTGGGTTTGATCCCTGGTTGGACCAAACTAGAGACTTGAAAATCGGGTTTTGATGCTTCTCCACTGAGCACATGTATGGCATTATAGCGTATGAGCAAAGACAGGTTGAAAGTGAGTCTTTCTAGTGGCAGTTATCTTGTGAACTAGCACATTAAAAATCCAGCTCATGTACATACCAGGGTTCATATCACATTATCATGTCATCATCATGAAGAAGAGAGGGGAAAGATACCAAAGGGACATTCAAACAGTCATAAATAAACTGACATGTTCATATTTCTGTGGTCTTAAAGTTGACCTTTACATACAGGTTTGAGTGTTATAATAACCAAATTCGTAGTCAATACAGCTCATGCCTTTAACAAATATTCACAGGACAATAGCATTAGTGTCCACTTAGTTGTTAATGTAATAATTGCAAAAGAGAGGCGAAAGATACCAAAGGGACATTCAAACTCATAAGTCGAAAATAAACTGACAACACCATGGCTCAAAAAGAAAGAGACCAACAGACAAACAATAGTACACAAAACACAACACAGAAAACTATAGACCGAGCAACACGAACCCCACCAAAAACTAGGGGTGATCTCAGGTGCTCCTGAAGAGTACGCAGATCCTCTCCACATGTGCCACCCATCGTGTTGCTCATGTTAGCACAAACCATGTGATAAGTCTAATTCAGTAGGTCACATTCGGGAAAAGGGGACCTGATTGTAGTTACGACTATTGTAACATGTCTGTTGTCATCTATGAATCGGATTTTCTGTAACGGTCAACCAACTCACGATGGCGTCCATAAAATTTATGAAGGGATGATCTCAACTTCACCACTTGGAACTCTTGGTTTAATAGCTTCCTTGTGAGCAGTAACACTTTATCAAGGAAATCATGATAGGAAATACAAGCCCTGGAATATCGTTTCAACTCGGAGATACAAAAATGTATTTACTCTCTATGCCGAACCTCATTGTCAATTTCTAGATGTAAGTCAAGTATGAGGCAGACATAACTGTATCTGTTGTATCCTTGTTTCTCAAGTTCGTTTGGATAGATGCGTTCAATAGTCGCCAAATTTTGAATTATTTAGTGAGAGAACATCATCTATATAGCGGAAAGTGAAGTTAAAGGATACTGCTAATTTCTTTTCTTTCTTCCTAAGAAGTTCCTGTATGAAGTCAGCCTCATATTATTAAAGGAACAAGCCGGCAAGAAGAGTAGCACAGTTGGTTCCCCTGGGAATGCCGATTGTTTGTGTTGAAAACACGTCATCCAAACGTAACAAATATGTTGTCAGTCAAGAAATCAAGCATCTTGATAATGTCAATTCCAGAGAATTTTTTGTTTGAATCAGAATGATCTTTATAAGGTACGATTTATATACTTGATTGTATCTACGTTGGCCATTCTTTTGTATGAAACAAAGCAAGACTAACTCTTTCAATTTGTTTTTTGGTTTAGAATGGGGAATACTTGTGTAAAGTGTTGAAAAGTCAAATGTTTTTAATACTGTTGCAAGATGAAAGATTCTTAGATTGCATGTACTCTGAAAGATCTTGGATTTTTTAAGTATCTACATCTGATTCACGCCACCTCTAGACTATGTAGTATCAGAATAACAGGAAGTTCAGCCCAGCTTTGATAATTGCTAATAAAATTGATGTTAATAATTTAGAAAGAGGTTTCGTGTAGCATTTGGAAAACACAGCAATATAACTTTGTTTGTAAGGACACTTATGCAACTGGACATTAAGCAGCCATCCATCTATCTAAATTAAATGACTTTTAGTTACTTTAATAGTGTCCATTATATCTTACAGGCAAAATCTTTCCAATATTCATTTTAATTCCACATGTTTTAGATTGATTGCTTGATTAATGATTGTTTATATATATATATATAACTATATTTGATGTATTGAATGATTTAAATGTGTAAATGTTTGTCTGACAGGGTTCATCTGACCTTGACCTTGTTTTCATGGTTCATTGGATAATGTTTAAGTTTTCGTTCGTCTCTCGTATACTATAAGCATTAGATCAACAATATTTAATACATGTAATGGGTGCACATGTTTGCCAGGTTCACCTGACCTTGTCCTCACTTTCTTGAGTTATTGATAATGTGACGTTTATGTGTTGTTCGTAGTCAAACCTTTATCGAAAAGACTTTCAACATAAATTCAATCTTAATCAGTTAAGCAGGCGAGGAATTGCAGCGTGTGCACTCTTGTTCAATATATGTGACTGTATATATATTTTTATAGGTTTTTATCCAACGCAATCATATGTTTGAACGTTGTTTTCAATTTAGACTTGTTTATATATTTTCGTTTGGGCTTGTATTATATTTGCCTTTGCCCTGGGTTTATATAATTCGTTCATCCTATTTCGACTCTTTAAAATTCAAGAGTCTATCCTAAATTGAGGTAAATTATATGGCCTTCTAAATACCGTTTCGATTCCTAACATCACTGAAGAGACATTAATTGTCGAAATCCGGATATGGTGTAAAAATTTTTGCACCTCATGTTTGCGGTATACCATCTTTTCCGCAAGTCTAGTGTTTTCTGTTTGGTATTAAACTAATAATTAAGATCCATTTTGTTACGTCTGGTGATCCGTATATTTGGCAAACGCCATGGCATTCAGCAGGGTTTAAGAACATCCGTTGTTCGACGTGCTAGTCGAATGCGTTTTGTTAAAATATACTTTTTCACTTTTTTGGTCTTTTGGAAAATGTTGTTTGTGCTGTATTTAGATCCCTCTACCAAGAAATTTGTTTTGCATGCACACGTATAAAAATTGCGGTTTTTATCCAACGCAATCATAGGTATGAACGTTGTTTTCAATTTAGACTTGTTCATATTTTTATATATACATATATTTATTTCTTTTGATTTATAATAAAGAATGAGTACATTCCCATCAAAATCTAGTGTTGTATACGGGTTAACCTCTCAGTGTCAATCAGTCTGTCCATCTACTTTTATCCCCCTTCTTTTGAAACCCTCGTGTCTGTCTCCCTTTTGTTGCATCAATTAGTCGGTAAGACTTTTTCGTGATATGTTTCTCAGCGATCGCTTGACATGCTTTAAGTTTTACATTTATCATGGTCTTATCGTGTTTTAAGATGTGATGCAGTTTCTTTTTTGATAACTATTCCTGCAGTTAATAAAGGGTACAAAGGGTAGTCTGGTATATAGAACTGTTATCAACTGCATTTCTTCTCTCATCAATCAGTAGGACATATGCTGAGGGGGCGTACATTTGACTGTATGGGATACATAAATAAGCCACTTGGAGTCGGAATAGGGACATACAATCCAATGATTCGTATATGGAGAGTATCGTTTACTCTGAACATTAAAGAACCATTGCAATAACTCTCTGAGAGATTAATAGATAATTTTTTGCTCGACAAAAAATGAAAACAACACATTATATATTTGGATTTATACCTCCATCAGCAGCGCTCAAAGTCGAATATGTGAAAGCCAAGAATGTATTAGAACCGAAACAGTAGAAGAGCTTTATGACCACAAAGGAGCTAAATATAATAGCCAAATTCATATAAGGCAAAATTGCTTTCCCTAACGAAAATTGTTCATTATCAGTGGATATTAAAATTTCCCGCCAATCATCTTTGTCGACCCACTTTACACAACAGTCTTTATTGATTTAATGTTTTAATTGTTCTCATCCTGAATATGCATGAAATGAATGGCATTTGATATAAGTAAACACCAGTCAATCAATTTACACTTGATATTTCCACTATCTGAATTCGGTTTCTGGTTTTCATAGTGATGTATGACTTCGTTGTTGTCCTCTGTCCTGTAATTTTTATGAATTCAAGTTGTGTTCAACCTATAATACCCTATACTCTAAACATCGTTTTTGGGGAACGTATTTATTGCTTTAAAAAATTGTCAGTAATATTTTTTCCTGTATGCAACTGGTCCATTACATCCAACTAGATAAGCATGGAACCATCTCTTTGCCCCACACCAGACCAGACAGAATTGACACAAAATGCCTGAACTTTTATTTATAGCCTCAAAAAGAGTACATACATTTGGATTGTTTAAAACTGGCTTTTGATACTTCAGTTCACATGTCGCATAATTTTGTTGAATAAGTGTCTATTTTTCAATTTTCTGCAGATCCTTATTTTACAGTAATTTTCAATTTCCAAAAACAGTTAAACTTACATTGAATTCAGAATTAACCTTTAATTTTACACACGAAAATATAATAAGATTATTTGTCCGTTTATATATACCTGAACTTGTGAAATATTTATTGTCATAGATGTGCGAACATCAAGTTTTACAGAAGTTTGTATCACAGTTTGAAACTTGATCTATAAAATTGAGAATCGAAATGGGGAATGGGTCAAAGAGACAACCACCCGACCGAAAAAAGCCGAAGTCCACCAAGGGGTCTTCAACA